TATAGTAAAAACTCCTCAGAATATTACTATATTGGTGGCAGCATTTGAGTCTTCAACCTTTGATTAATTAATCAAATAGTTCCCTCACATATATTGGTGGCAGCGGTCAGGAGGGCTGAACAAAGGGGCCCTCTGCAAGAAGATTTTTGGGTTCGCCTTGAGTGTGTGGATTTAAAAACACACAGGTCCTCCACATATATTGGTGGCATAGCATTGGGATAACATCTAAATCCAGACCTTCTGTATCGTCTTGCCATCTTCTCTTAATCTCTTCAGCTTCTGTTAGGTCCCTGCCATTTTCGTTTTCGACCATGTTAAAGCTGGAAGGAGGAGTAACCGAATTACGTAAGACGAGTTCAATTTTAATTAATTTTTGGGTAGGACTGAAACCCAGGCCTGTAGCGAGGGGGTGGTTTTAGGGGTTCAACCCCCCCCGAAATGTTTCAGATTTTTTTTAAAAAACCCGGTTTACTCATGAATTTTAACTGGTTAACCAAATCCCCATGCTAAGTCTATGAGATGCAAACAATTAAGAGTCCCTCCAGAACTGTAAGCACTATCTCAAGCAAATATTGACAAATTATTCACACTGTCATTACTTGCAGCGATAGCCGATGTAGTGAAGCAACCAAGTTGGGGGTGTGTGTGTTGAATGCTCTCATTAAGGAGGCCAGACTTGGTGGAGGTGGTTGACAAGGGCGGAGCTGCAGGCTATTGAAGGTTGCTCTGCCCCCTGCTGTGCTCTATGCTTCAGCGTGAGCTAGGAGGCAGGTTTCAACCCCCCCTCGAAATTTTCAACCCCCCCCCCAAAAAATGTCAACCCTCCCCGAAATTTTTTTCTGGCTACGGCCCTGCTGAAACCTTAACCCTTCTGTATCTCCTAAGTGAGACAATAATCAGGAATGTGTCTTGAAACTAAGCAGGAAGGCAAACAGATAACAACAAGCAATAACTTTGCCCCAAGGATCTTTGCCCCAAAGTCCCAGCACAACTTTTAGTCCAATCTACTCATAGCACTGGGCAAGATAAAGTTTATTCCCAGTATCAATATTTTATAGAACCTTGTTAAGCAGAAAATTACAAACATGTGCATGAGCATACATGGTAATAGTTATCTGAAGTCTATATAACCAGTACAGAATGCAGTGAGAGCTTGTTTGTTATTTAGGAGAGTCCGATACTGTATGTAATCAAAACATTTCTAGCATAGCATAAATGACAGAACTCAGCAAACAATGCAGGTTGTGTGGAAATGTCAGCTATTCTCAAAATGAGTGGATCAGGCCCCTAAAACAGGCAAATCTTTCTTTCTTATTTTGTGGCAACAATGTCATTGTAGCCAACATGACATTTGTGACAATCAACACCTGTTTGCTGCTGTACCACAAATTCAGAGCTTCCTTTCCCAAGGTAATGAACCAGATCCTTTGTTCAAACAACACAGTGCAAAACAGTGTATTCACACAAGAAACCTTGTGGCAGATCACATAGAATCATAGAGTCGGAAGATACCATAAGGGCCATCCTGTGGTATGGCCCACAAGGGCCATCCTTCTGCCATTCAGGGACACAGAATCAAAGCACTCCCAACAGATTGCTATCCAGGCTCTGTTTAAAAACCTCCAAAGAAGTAGCCTCTGCCACACTCCAAGGCAGTGAGTTCCACTATTGAACAGCTCTTATGGTCAGCCAATTTTTCATAATGTTCAGGTGGAATTCTTTTTCCTGCAATTTGAATCCATTGTTCTGTGTCCTAGTCTTCAGAGCAGCAGAAAACAAATTTGCACCCTTGTCAATGTGACATCCTTCCAAATATTTAAACATAGTTATCATGTCCCCGCTCAGCCTTCTTTTCTCCAAGCTAAACATTTCTTGCTCCCTAAGCCATTCTTCATAGGGCTTGGATTCCAAACTTTTGATCATTTTGGCCACCCTTCTGTGGACACATTCCATCTTGTCAATATCCTTCTTGAATTATGGTGCCCAGAACAGGATATAGTATTCCAGGTGAGGTCTGACCAAAGCGGAATAGAAGGGCACCATGACTTCTCTCAGTCTTGACACTGTATTCCTATTGATGCAGCCTAAAATGGCATTGGTTTTTAGTTGCCACATCATACTGTCAATTCATGTTCAGCTTTGGTCAACTACGATTCCTAGATCCCTTTCACATATATTGTTTTCAAGCCACGTGTTCCCTGTTCTATATTTGTGCAGTTCATTTTTATTGCCAAAGTGCATTATTTTATATTTCTCCCTGTTGAAATTAATTTTATTAGTTTTGGCCCAGCTCTTTAATCTGTTACAGTTATTCAGATCCTGTCCTCTGCAGTATTAACTACCCTTCCCAATATGGTGTCATCAGCAAATTTGATAAACATTTCTTCTATCTCATCATCCAAGTCACTGATAAAGATGTTGAATAACACTGGGCCCATGACAGAACCCTGTGGCACTCCGCTGGTCACTTCTCTCCAGGTTGAAGAGGAGCCTTTGCTTACTATCATACTTCAAAACTAGACAGAAGATCTCATCTTCTGCTCCAAAGCTGAACTGAAGTATAGTCTGGAAGTTTTTTAAGTAGGGTTGTCAAAGTCAAGTACAGAAGATGACTCCTCTACTTTTCATAGTTGAGAAGATGAGGGAATCTCAGCAATGCAACCATGCTGAATTTCATCTGGTGACTATTAGCCTTCCCAGCCTAGCTTTGTACAAGAGAGAAGAAAGGCAGACGGCAGGATTGGCCACAATGATCAGCAATTAATGTAACAGTTAACACTTTTGGATTGATTGAAACATGCCAGATTTTGTCCCTGTTCTTTCCAGTTTTATATTGCTTAAAATAATCTGATTTAGGGAGCAGGTATAAAAACTCTTTGATTGTACCAAGAGGTGGCAGAATATATTCTGGGATACTGTATATAAGAAGCTAGCCATCCCCTGCCACACATTGCTGTGGCCCAGTCTGGTAATCTGGAAAATAAAGTAATGAGAAAGTGTTGGTTTCTAATATATGTAATTTGTTTATACTTGTGGGTAAACAGTATTTCTTGCTGTTTTCTTGTCATTGTTGATGTAGAGCAGGGGTCCTCAAACTAAAAACCTGGATGTGGGACCAGGCCTTTGGGTAAGCTGGCAGACGGACAAAGACAAGGACGACCAGAGCAGGAAAGGACAATGACAATGCTGGATGGATTATGGAATTATAAATCGGCGAGCATTGGCCACAGGATGATTTTATTACTGTTATTGTATTCATGTGATGTTTTAACTAGTGATAATTGTTGATGTTAAATTTTAAATTGTATATTGTACTTTGTGAATTGTTGGGCATCGAAATGTGCCTTTTTTGTAAGCCGCCCTGAGTCCCCCCTAGGGGATTGAGAAGGGCGGGGTAGAAGCACTCCAAATAAATAAATAAATAAATAAATAAATAAATAAATAAGGCCCGGGGGCCAGATACGGTCCTCCAAGGTCATTTACTCGGCCCTCGCTCAGGGTCAACCTAAGTTTGAAACAGTTTGAAAGCACACAACAACAACAACAACGATCCTATCTCATCAGCCAAAAGCAGGCCCACATTTCCCATTGAAATACTAATGAGTTCATATTTGTTTAAATTATTCTTCATTTTAATTATTGTATTGTTTTAAAGTGGTTTTTTTTGCACTACAAATAAGATATGTACAGTGTGCATATCTTATTTCATTCATTCATTTTTCTTCAAATTATAATCCGGCCCTCCAGCAGTTTGAGGGACTGTGACCTGGCCCTCTGTTTAAAAAGTTTGAGGACCCCTGATGTAGAGATTGTCTGGTTTGCCTACTCTGGAACATAAAGCATATAATTGTCCTTCTTTAGGGGTTCCTTTCAAATTTATGATACTATATCTCTCATATATATAGTATATGTGCGTGTGTGTGAATCATATATATCTATCTATATCTATGGCTGGATGGCTCTTTGTCAGGAGGGCTTCGATTATACTTGCCCTGATGAAGGGAGTTGGACTGGATGGCCTTAAGGCAGCATTTCTCAAACTGGGGGTCGGGACCCCGGGGGGGGGGGGGGGAGGATGTCAGAAGGGTTGCCAAAGACCACCAGAAAACAGTATTTTCTGTTGGTCATGTGAGTTCTGTGTGGGAAGTTTGCCCAATTCTATCGGTGGGGTTCAGAATGCTCTTTGATTGTAGGTGAACTATTAATCCCAGTAACTACAACTCCCAAATGTCAAGGTCTATTTCCCCCAAACTCCATCTGTGTTTATATTTGGGCATATTGAGTATTCGTGCCAAGTTTGGTCCAGATCCATCATTGTTTGAGTCCACAGTGCTCTCTAAATGTAGGTGAACTACAACTCCCAAACTCAAGGTCAATGCCCACCAAACCCTTCCAGTATTTTCTGTTGGTCATGGGAGTTCTGTGTGCCAAGTTTGATTCAATTTCATCGTTGATGGGAGTTCAGAATGCTCTTTGATTGTAGGTGAACTACAAATCCCAGCAACTACAACTCCCAAATGAAAAATCAATTTTTTGAGTGATGGACACTCCTTGGGTTAGTAGGTGTCTTGTGGCCAAATTTGGGCAATTCGTTCAGTGGTTTTTGAGTTATGTTAATCCCACAAATGAACATTACATTTTTATATATATAGATGTAGTTTGGTTCAGAAATATCTGTGACCTGGTTTCATCAGGCATGTAGCCGGGGGGGGGGGGGGCTTGAGGGGCTTCAGCCCCCGCCCCCCCGAAATTCTCATGGTGGTTCGCGAAAAGGCCTTACTGGTGCATTATTTAAACTGTTATGTTTATTCATATCATGATCTGATCACCATACTCAATATATCCCATATGCATGGGGGTATTGGGGTAATGATACAAAAGGTTTGCTAGGCTAGACCCTACGGGCCTGGATAGATAGATAGATAGATAGATAGATAGATAGATAGATAGATAGATAGATAGATAACAGAAACAAAGTCTAGGACTTCCTAGTCTTTTTTATCAGCCTGGATGCACTTTCGGGGCCCTTCTACACAGCCATATAACCCAGAATATCAAGGCAGAAAATCCCACAATATCTGCTCTAAATTGGGTTAGCTCGGTCCACACTGCCACATATTCCAGTTCAAAGCAGAAAATATGGGATTTTATTAAGCTGTGTGGAAGGAGCCTTAGTGTTTGATGTGGGATGCTAAATTTCAGAAATGGGACTCACATAGTGTTAAATCAATCTTACATGATATACTGAAAAATTTTGCTCTGAATTTAGAGTGAAGACGTGTTTGCAGTGATAGCACTCTCAGTGCTAGGTAGCATTTTATGTACTTCTCAGTCTAGTTCACATTGGTGTTCCTCTCTGAAAGCCCCAGTTTTAATTGTGGGTTCTTTATTTTGTTTTTTTCCTTCCTCTTCTGTGATTATATATCTCTACTGAGTTCTGAAACTCATGCAGACTTAAGATCTGAATGAGAACTATGATTCCTGCCTACTCACTAAGCCTGTTGTGGGTTTTAACTACATTCTTTACTGTTACCCTTGAAGACCAAGGTAAGAATTTAGAATATGACATTTTGCTTAGTTCTTTTCTTCCACCCTTCCACCTCTCTCCTTTCGTTATTGTTTTTTTGTTTGTTTGTTTGTTTTCTTCCTTTGCCCTTTGTCTTCCTTACGCTTGCCAAAAGTATCAGTGCAATGTACAACATATCCAGTGTGCTGTTGAACTGGCCAATGATATTCCTGGTATCTATTCTCTGAGTAACTTTCACGAGGAGAAAAATCCTTGGACAGAATCTGCAAAAACAATGGCAGAAGAGGGAATGGGAGTTAATTTCTTTTTTATTAGTTTCAGGTGGCCCAGGAATAATATTTGTGCACTAGTCTTCAGAACAATGTGTATCAATGGATATAATTGCATTTAGTATCTTGGGGATACAAGTTGTTATCAGGATATAAATCTCAATAAGCAGTGCTATGCTCTGACAGAGGGCTCTTCCACACAGCTATATAACCCAGAATATTAAGGTAGAAAATCCCACAATATCTGCTTTAAACTGGGATATATGGCAGCATGGACTCAGGTAACCCAGTTCAAAGCAGATATTTTGGGAATATATATATATATATATTTGGCTGTGTGGAAGGACTTGGAGACGGAAAAAGAAATGTACTTGGCAGGCACTGTGTATGGCAGTTAATTCAATTAGATCCTAAAGAGAAAGGGTTAGATGCAAGAATTACTTTACTTACTTACTTAGGCGATTCCTCGTTGTCCGAGTAAGATTGTCCTCCAAGTACAGTGTCCTGGCAGTGGGTCCATAGGTGACTGTGGAGCCCTAATCTTGACCTGCATGTTCTCCCACAGTGAGGGCATTGGTTTCCAGGTGGAAGGTGGTCCCGGTTGGGGTTGGTTTGATGCGCCTTCCTCTTGGCACGTTTCTCCCTTTCGCCCTTCATTCATGCCTCTTCAAATTCTACAGCACTGCTGGTTACAGCTGACCTCCAGCTGGAGTGCTCAAGGGCCAGGGCTTCCCAGTTCTCAGTGCCCATGCCACAGTTTTTAAGGTTGGCTTTGAGCTCATCTTTAAATCTCTTTTCCTGTCCTCCAACATTTCGTTTTCCATTCTTGAGTTCAGACTAGACCAACTGCTTTGGGAGATGGTGATCGGGCATTCAAACAACGTGGCTGGTCCAGCGGAGTTGATGGCGGGGGACCATAGCTTCTATGTTGGTGGTCCTTGCTTCTTCCAGCACACTGACATTTGTTTGCCTGTCTTCCCGAGAGATTTGCCATATTTTTTTGGAGGCAATGCTGATGGAATCATTCCAGGAGTTGCATGTGACGTCTGTAGATAGTCCACATTTCGCAGACATATAGCAGGGTTGAGAGGACAATTGTTTTATAAACAAGCACCTTGGTATCCCTACGGATGTCCCGGTCCTCAAACACTCTCTGCTTCATTTGGAAAAATGCTGCACTCACAGAGCTCAGGTGGTGTTGTATTTCAGTTTCAATGGTGACTTTTGTGGAGAGGTGGCTGCCAAGGTAGTGGAAATGGTCAACATTTTCTAATGTTACACCATTAAGCTGTATTTCTGGCATTGCTCATTCAGAAGAAGACCTACAAACCACTCTAAACACCTTCACAGAAGCATATAAGAAGCTTGGCCTGTTAGTGAACATCGAGAAAACCAAAGTGCTCTTCCAGCAGTCACCAGCCAATCTGTCTGCAATGCCAGATGCAAGAATACAGTTTTGCTTGTTGAAGTAATCTTAGGAACTGTGCTCTTTTTGCAATTTTGTTAATTGGTATACCACAGTGATGTTGTTAGACCTTATGCAGCTTTTGTACTGTCGATATAGTTGCAGGCAACAGACAATGTAAGAACTTTCTCCATTCAGAGATTTCTCAGATATTTGGGGCTGATTGTGTTTTTATTACCATGTCTGAATATGATGAAAAAACATGATTTCTTTTTGCTGATAATGTGTACCATTTATTACTTAAGAATACTATATATACTAATGTAAAAAGTTGTTGGTTTCATATATTCTCCAAACTTTTAATATTTCAAGTTGAAGCTGACATTCATATTCTGAAGTACTGTGATCTTTCTACAGATAATGTGTATATTTTTCACCTGTTTTTTGAGTGCTTATAAAGGGTAGCTCAGGGCCTAATAAGGAAAGAAAGTGTGAACAACCACAATTTACTTTCATCAAAATGTTAGATTTGCATGAGCATACAACAATAGCAAGAGGAAACCACCAGTGACGTTTCTGAAGGAAGTCTAGCAAAGTACTCAAATTCCCCAGTGGATTACAGGAAATACAGCAATCTAAAAAGTCCCATCTCATTGCTTATGCTACTCCTTTTAAAAAGGCTTCTCGTTAATAAGTTTTCTTCATGTTTCTGTGTGAACTTATATTGAAAAGATAACTCCCTCCACTATGGGATGGTAAGCATTAGGTTATCACATACTGAAATTACCTGTGGTGTTACCACTTTATTAGCAGTTAATCTTCTAGAACATTGACATTACTGTAAAGACAAATGAATTGTGTTCTGATAAATATATTGGGCAGAAATACATTTTATTATGTTGAGAAAAAAACATTGATTTCAAACAAGCCCAAAGATAGAGAGCCTTATACATTTAAAATGATTCCATTATGTCTTAATATCACCAGCCCCATATGTCTACAATCTTAAGGTTTGCATTTTCAGGTAAAGCATAGCTCTTACCTGATCAAGGACATGGAGACTGACATAGAACAATAACATTTTTTTCACAATGATCCCTCTTTTTTATTTATTACTAGCTTGGGTACCCGGCATTGCCCAGGTTATTTGAAAAAAATCTTTTTTTTATTTTACAAAATGCATAAGGTTGTGGGTAGAATACAACTCACATCAATCCAGGTTAACCCCCTGAAACTCCATCAGTAGTTAAAGTTTGTCATGTTTGGCAAATTTGTGCTAGATGCATCATTGATGGGGTTCAGTGTGCTCTCTGGCTGCAGGATGAACAACAGCTCCTACCATGGTAGGTCAGTCCCCCTTAATTCCCTCCAGTAGATTCAGTTGGTCATGGGGGCTCTGTGTGCCAAGTTTGGTCCAGATCCATCATCATGATGGTCACAGTGTCTCTGGATATCAGTGAACTACAACTCCCAGAAAGAAGGTCGGTTCCCCCAAACCCCTCCAGTATATTCAGTTGGTCATTGCGGTTCAGTGTGCCAAGTTTGATCCAGGTCCATAGTTGGATTCACAGTTTCTCTGGTTGTAGGCTAACTACAACTCCCAGAAATCAAGGTCTATCTGTCCTGAACACCTCCAGTCAAATTTGGACATACCATACATGTGTGTATCATTTTTTGAGTTCACGATGCTCTCTGGATGTAGGTGAACTACAACTCCCACAAATCAAAGTGAATTCCCCCCAAAGCCCTCCAGTATTTATTTATTTATTTATTTATTTATTTATTTATTTACTGCACTTGTAGACCGCCGTTCTCAGCCCTAGGGCGACTCACGGCGGTGTACAACATATAAAAACAAACAATTTACAATAAAGGCAATATCACAAACCACAATAACAACATCACTATCAATAATACAATTACACTAATCATTCGCGACGTCTCATCATAGAATCACAATCCAATCTCGTTATCCATATTCCGTTCCAATCATCGTTGCCAATTGTTGTAGCACTTCATCAAACGCCTTCTCAAACAACCACGTCTTTAATCTCTTGCGGAATGTCATAAGGGAGGGCGCCTGTCTGATGTCTACAGGGAGGGTGTTCCACAGCCGGGGGGCCACCACCGAGAAGGCCCTATCCCTCGTCCCCACCAGGCGTGCCTGTGAGGCAGGCGGGATCGAGAGAAGGGCCTCCCCAGACGATCTCAAAGTCCTCGTGGGCTCGTAGGCCGAGATGCGGTTAGTATTTATTGTTGGTCATGGGGGTTCTGTGTGCCAACTTAGATCCAGGTCCATCTTAAGTGGGGTTTACCTGCATAGTGGGAGCTATAGCTATTTGTAGAAGTGGGAGCCTGTCTGTGTAAGTGGACACTCCGGCCACATACATACATGCAGGTTCTCACTTTTATTATGTGTATAGGTTTGGAAGCTGTGGCCTGCCAACAAGAGTAGACTTTGCAGAGCCAGACGGCAACTATAAGGACAATAATGTAATGTATGTAATATATATGTTGTTAAACAAATCTTACAAAAGATTTACATCTTTAAATCTGATAGGGTCACCATAAGCAAGAAATGACTTCAAGGCACAGAACACACACAATTGCTCGATTACTGAAAAGCCATAAACTTTCCCCATTAACATTCAGTTTCCAACCATCAATTCCTATAATTTTTTCCCATAAGCAGTTGGTTCTGAAACATCAATTGAAACAAAAGGAGTCCTTACCTGCTGCCAAAGGGATTTTCAATGGGGAAGCAGCCACCAAAAATGTCCCCTCCTGCATCCTCACCAGACAAGAATATGAAACTTGTGGGATAAAAATAAAAACCTCAAAATTTGGACAAGGCACATAGCCCTTTAGAGAAACTGTCCTCTGACACTATGGGACTTTATTGCTTGTCACCCACAGTTTTGAGTTCTGTTGCTTCAATATATTGTTTTTAAGCATTTGAAGGTAAGCTGATAAGTCAAAAGATGCCCCTATCTGTATGCCTATAGGACAAACATATTTTTTCTCTTGAAGTCACTACCATAGCTCCATTTTTCTTAAATGAATAAATTATGCTCCTGGTATGAAAAGATTTTGTCCTGCAGTTGCAGTCTACAAGTCCCAGCCTCAGGGCAGTGATGGTGGCAAATGCTGAAAAGCCAAAAGTTCTGAACTGTCTTATCTTGGAGGAAGTAATCAATGGAATCCTTTTAAATTTTATTGGAGAGTTTCTGTCCTTCTGAAGTATATGGATTAGAACAGGTTTCCCAGATGCAGTCCAACTTTAGTCATATAGTCCCACCACACATTATCAAATGCTTTCTCCACATCTAAAAATAGTAATGCAACCTCTCTGCTTGGGTCTTGTTCAGTGTACTCTATTATATCTAATACTGTCCTCACATTTTGGCTCGGATGTCTGCCTGGGAGGAAGCCTGCTTGATCCCCATGTATTATTTTAGCTAAAATTTATTTCAACCTGTTTGCTAAAATTTCAACGAATAGCTTATAATTGTTATTGACTAATGAAATTAGTTTTTAGTTGTTCACTCACTCTGTGTCTCTGTCCTGTTTAGGTAAAAGAACTATCATTGCTTCCTCTCCGAATGTGTTTTTTTTTCCCAGTCTGTCCTTCCAGAATACACTTTGTATATATGCACAGCAATTCGCATTCTGCAGAGCCAATTTCACCATGTGATATGGTTTATACAACAGTGTGCTAATGTGCAATCAAGGCTTTACTTTGGATCTTCCCCTGACTTTGCTTGTGTTGTATTATTGGGCTTAAAGTGTGCTGCAATGCACTTTCGTGGCATGCCTACTTTAGCTGCGGCATTTTAAATATAACTTGAAGCTGTATTAAATGGTCAGTGTAGATGACCATGGCTCCTTGAGATTATTCTGCTTTTAATAGAGATAGGAAGCAAGGAAGCATACTGGGATCCCTTGGAAGCTATGAACAACCCACAGGCAGTATGCTTCTATCCCTAAATTGGAAAAATAGAATTTGATTTAATTCATGCTATTCAAGTACTGACTTAACTTTTTCCTGTCTCATTTTTGTCACCAGGAGATAGCTGTAATCCCCCACCTAGGTTAGACTTTGCTGAACTCGCTGATGAATATAAAGAGAAGAATTCCTTTCCAATCGGCTCAACTGTGAAATACACCTGCCGTCCAGGTTACACTAGAAGTAAACTAAAGATCTCTCGAAAATGCCTTCAGAACCAGGAATGGTCAGAACTTGAGGAATTTTGCAGAAGTGAGTCTCTTAATATTCTTTTTTTAAAAATGGTGTTAAAGGGATAGAAATGAACACAAAAAGAGATACATTTATATTGAGACAAACATATTGAAATTAATGACATGCAATTCATTTCATAGAGTCCCTAAACTTCCCTATTGGTATTCTGATATTTACTAAAGATATAGTTTTTATAGTCTTCAGAATAGAATGGCTAAGTAGAATTCTAAAATATATTTTGTTTAATTTGAATTTTCCAAGTTTCTAATAAAACAAAATATTATTAATTAATAGAATGTGCTCATTTTAAAACTTTAACTTAAAGCTTGGAGGTCTTGACCAGAACTCCAAAGAAATGCATTAGCAAATCTGACCATCTTTCGTGCTACCCACAGGAGTCCTCAAACTTTTTAAAAGGAGGGTCAGGTCACAGTCCCTCAAACTGTTGGAGGGCCAGATTATGATTTGAAAAAAAACATGAATGAATTCCTATGCACACTGCACATATCTTATTTGTAGTGTAAAAAAACACCTAAAAACAATACAATAATTAAAATGAAAAACAATTTTAACAAATATAAACTTATTAATATTTAAATGGGAAGTGTGGGCCTGCTTTTGGCTGATGAGATAGGATTGTTGTTGTTGTGTGCTTTCAGGTAGTTTCGGACTTAGGTTGACCCTGAGCAAGGGCCAGGTAAATGACCTTGGAGGGCCATATCCGGCCCCTGGGCCTTAGTTTGAGGATCCCTGAACTAGGGTATCAGAGTAATTTTATAGTTGCAACACTTTTTGTGACCTCATTACACCTGTCCTAGAATGTTTTCCCCACCAGTCCAGCAGTAGATGGGCACACAGCCCATCACATGACACTGATGAACTTCTGGCAGAGGCCCTGCCCACAACTGGAGTGGAAGTGTCCTTTGATGCTTCCCTCACAACACAGGAGCCTTCCCATGTTGTGCTGGTTCCAATGGAGCCAGCAAGGGTCTGCGCCGCTTCAGCAATGCTTCCCCCATGTGATGATGGAAGTGTCATTGTTCTGAAGCAGCACACGGGGTGACAGAGTCACCCCTCATCCCTGCTGTTTTGCCACGGAGGCATGGGCGCGAGTTCCCTGTGTGATACGATCATGGGTATCTTTATATAGGTCATACATTTTTGCTTGAGTTGCTCCTGTTGTATTTGAAACACTAATTCTATTCTCAGAGAAAGTGCAAGCAGCAAGTTTGGTGTATCCATGTCTGTTGGAAAGAACTAAATTTGATGTAAACGACATTAATATTTAATAAAATGAAATTTTAGATTGTCCCACAAAATAATCAGCTAATGAAAACTGTTCTGTCTTTCATACCTATTTTAAAGATCCACATTTGCAATTTAATAATCAATATTTTGTGCAATTTAACTAGTGTTCTGTATGGATAGCCCTTCCATACACTTAATGTTGCCAAACACTTGATCTCCAAAATAAAAAAGGCAAACATTAATCATCTATTGTTAAATGGTTAGAGAATCTCACCACTTGAGCTACTGGTTTATAAATATCAACATTAAGAATGTGGGTTTGGGTTTTTTTTTTTTTTTTTTTTGAAATATTGTCTCCATATATTAAGGTGTATGCCTAGCCCATCGTCAAATCCTGTGTATTTACCTCCTTTTAGGAATATTGTCTATGATCTTTGTACTGTTAAATATGAAAGACCAGCTCTTTCTTTCACATCTATGTATATGTTTTTAGAAAAGATAGGACTGTTGTAATTTTGTAAGTGTTATTTATGTTTATTGACATTAGAATTGTTACCATTATGGATATTGATGTATTTATGTGTCATGGGATGATATGTGAAGTTTTGTAAGCCACACCGAGTCCCTTTTTAAAATGATTATTATTAACTATATTATAACGGGGATACTGCGTAAAGTCTACCTTCTCTTAATGTTTTTTTATGTGGGAAATCATGACATACAGTTTCCCCATTGTGAATTTCTTTCCTTTAAATAAAATGAATGAATAAGGAAACTGAACTGATATTGCACCTGAGTGTACCCTGATCTTAAATGGGAAAAATAGTTTTGTATTGTTTCCTGCTAGAAAAATCATGTGAACATCCCGGAGAACCAAAATATGGCAGGCTGCATGTAACAGGAGATTTCCTTTTGGGTGCCACTGTAAAGTATAGCTGTGATGAAGGGTAAGCATCAGATAATATAGATTTTTGTTTATTATGTTTCCTCATAAGATGATGAGACATTTCAGAAGTGTTCTTTTCACTGGGTAAGATTATGAACATTTTGTTCATTTGTGATGATTTCCTGCTTTAAAAAGAAAAAAAAAGGCTTTCAATGTTTAGACATAAATTGTCTCACCAAAGATGAAGGTAAAATCTGAATATTCTTTACATCCTTATTGGACCAGACCCTCTTTTCTATTCAGGTAATTCTATGGATCTAACGCTAAATTCTTTCCATATATAGAGAGCAAAATGCATACAGTCATGATTTCTTTCCCCCCCAATTTAGATACAGGTTAATTGGCCATTCTTCCAGAAGATGCATAATTTTTGACAAAAAAGTAGAGTGGACACATGCCATTCCCTTTTGTGAGCGTAAGTAGGAAATACTTTGCTATTTGTTGATCTGAACACTATTCATGTAGGGTTGTGCCGCAGTATAATTTCTATTCTCCAAGAACATTGTAAAACTGTAAAAATGTAAAAATGAAGTAGGGTCTCTCTCTAAATAGAAACAGAGGGGTATTTTCGTTGTGTCATGAGAGACTTGAGAAACTGCAATTTGCTTTTGGTGTGAGAAAATTGGCGGTCTCCAAGGATGTTGCCCAGGGGGCGCCTGGATGTTTTACCATCCTATGAGAGGCTTCTCTCATGTCCCTGCATGAGAAGCTGGAGCTGACAGGAGCAAACTCAGCTCCCCGGATCTGAACCGCCAACCTTTCGGTCAGCAGTCCTACCGGCACATTGCGCCACTGGAAAAAAACAACAACAGAAAACAGAGCAGGTATCAGGGGCAAATCATTGGATTAAAGTATGACTTTATGGACCTTATGATCTAAATGAGTACAATGTGCTGCTAACACCTTGATTGCAAGTCCCACTGATCGTAACAAAAGTGGCAAAAAAGTGCCATTTTGGAAAACAGCATTGCATCTTATCTGATATTAGAAGCTAAGCAGGGTGAACCGTAATTAGTACTTAGATGGAAGACCTCCTAAAAATGCCAGGTGCTATAGACTATTTCAAGAATGTAAATGGAAGATTTGAATAATGAATCAGGTTTCCACAGAGGTGGCCTCTACCAAATGCCAAATACAAGACCATCTGGTGCCGTACTGTGCTCAGTCTGCAAAAAGAAAAGAGGCCACAGTTAGAAAAAAAGAGAGTCAAATAAACTTAGGGCTGGCTTCCTCCAGTCAAGAACGTGTGCCTGTTATCATTCTAAAGGGAGCCAGCATTGTATAGGTGTTTGAATGTTGAACTCGAATATTGGAGGACCATAATTTAAATCCCTACTCAACTATGGGAACCCGGTAAGTGATTTTGGATAGTCAATTTCATGCAGCTTTAAACATGACTATTCTTACCCTTCCTCCTCCTCCCCCCCCCCCTACTTTCCTCTTTTAAACAAAGCAGCCATGGCAAAGCTTCTCAGTATAAATCTTACCAAGATATCCCTATGAAATAATTGTCATATATTGTAGTTCATTTGAAGACACCTATCAACAAACTACAATTACATTCTAACAATTTGACTTTATATCTATATATCTTGTTCAGATCTCATAACTCTATATCTGAGGCCTTTTCTTTATTTTAAATAATGTGTGGACATTTGCTTCAAAATCCTCCTAAAGGCTCTTTAGGGAACGTGGAGAGCTATTGCACCATGCTTGAAGCTCCTCACCCGACTGGGTAAAAACTCATCAGTGACCTTGAGCCCAAGCTCCCCAGCCTTAAAATTCAGTCTACACAATTGATTATGTTATTTTTTAAAAAAAAAACCCCTTTTTAACAGTCTACAGCAGTTCCCAACAGTCCTTCCCTCTTGACCAAAATTTAAAAAATATTTTTTGCCAGATGATGCTTATAAAGCAAACTACCCCTTACAAATGTACCATATTATTCTGATTTTCCTGATATGTAGGATCTGGCGGAAGAACATAACATATGCAGGCTATTTGATCTGTTGTAGTGCTGTGTTTGTCTATGAAAGATTATGAAAGAACTAGATATCTAAAGAGCATATATAGGTCTTGTTTCATTTTTCATGATTGCTTATATGTTGTGTTAATGTATCATATGTACACTTATGAAACTTCAACAGTCAGTTGGCTTTAACTACTGGATTTGGACACTGCAGTTTCCCAACGAATATCTCACTTGAAAGCAGATAAAAATGCTCAAATATTTTAGAAACTTCTGCCTCTTTCTTTCTAGGTATTCCATGCTTCCCTCCACCAGATGTTCCTTATAGCAAGCGTAGTGGTGGATACATGGATAATTTTTTTGTTGGGTCAGTTGTGACTTACACCTGTGACAAAGGCTACCCCCTTGTTGGAAATGCCTCTATCTATTGTATTACTGAAGATGGGTTAAATGGAGTTTGGAGTGGCCGTGCTTATTGTGGAGGTATGGTTTTCATGTGTCCTTCTCATTTCATCTATGATTTATGTACAAAAGACTAAGTTGTGTTAATTGTTCAACTGATAGTTGCAACAAAGGGGCTTTTGCTTCCTCTCATTTTTCAAAAACACACCTTCTTTTTTAGAGACTCGCTGTCCACCTCCTCATGTAGAGAATGGAAGGATAGTCACTGGCAAATCTAACATCTATACCTATAGCCAAAGAGTTACAATTGACTGCAATGTTGGTCACAGGACATCTGGCTCAAGAGAAATTCATTGCCAAGTGGATGGCACATGGGATCCAGCTATACCTACTTGTAAACAGGGCAAGTATGCATATAAAGACAACATATTGTGAGAACAACACACAAAGCTACTTCCCTGTATGGCAGTGCCCTTTACCACTAACTGTAAGGTAGTAATATTGCTAGCAAGGCACTATCTTCTGAAATATACATCATGCACCAAGGGATATGTGTAACTCTGCAAATCAGGTTTACAATAGCTGATCCTATTATACCAAGAGCAGTTTACATTTTTAGGTAACCATGTTAACTAGGATACAATTTAGGCTATTGGAAAACTCTCTTAACCACATCAAGTAATAATAATAATAAAATAATAAAACTTTATTTATATCCCACCACCTTCTCCCCGAGGGACTCGGTACGGCTTACATGAGGCCAAGCCCACAGCACATCAATAACAAAAACAATAACAAAAACAATCAATACAATACAATTAATATAAATCACATAAACAATAAACAGTAACACACAAGCATCTAAAAACCAATGGCCGGACCAAATGTAATAGTTTAAAATTTAAAAATAGCGCTGGGCATGAACAAGGTAGGATATAACTGGTATAGGGTTTTCAAAGAGAGATGAGGGAATGCAGTCCATCCTAAATCAATGGTAAAGTGCATTTTGAGGGCATATTGCTGAGAGTTTTCCTTATTCTGGGAAGGCACACTGGAACAACCACATTTTCAGGCTCCTCCTAAAGACTGCCAGAGTTGGGGCATGTCTGATGTCCTTGGGAAGTGAGCTCCAGAGTCGAGGGGCCACCACTTGCTAATTCCAAGCTTTCATGGCAATCACACACAGAAATAGTATGTATATCTTAGAAGTGCATTTTACTGAGTTCGGTTAGAAGTGGTATGGATATCTTAAGCACTACTTTTCTAGCATAGCTCCAGCAATGAAGGGAGTGGAGATAAAATACTGCTAATATATTGATAGTAATATCTTGGTTTTCAGAGGGGTTGACCTGTTAGTTCATTGCAAACATATAAAAAGGTATCTTTGGCACCTTAAGAGGACTATAAATAAGGAAAATAAGTACTGGTAAACTATTGCACTACCCTGTAGTGGGAGTGTATGCTCCCGTGAGGTATGAAGCTATGCTGATGGCAGTGATGCCAGAAGGGTCTCCCATATCAGATAGATTTTTACTGAGGAGCCAAACTAATGTGCCAAACATCTACTGGGCAGAAGCAGTAATGGCAGGTGACACTGGCACAAGATGCCTCAGAGAATATCAGTGGCACAATAACCAACATTTTTAATACTACAATGTTATACTACTCCTAAAGCCTTTTACCATGAAATCCATTCATTAGAAAGTTGCAAAATGAAACAAGAGATAATGTCAGGAGATGAGATTCCCAAATCAGCTGGCACTAAGTAGACTACTGGGAAACAGCACTGGACAACTACAACTCGTACTGTGACTCAACTGGACCCAAGCTGTAAAAACATTCAGCTGCTGCCATGAGGTAAAAGATAAGTTTGAAGATGCATAACATTTATTTTTGGAATAATTGATGTTAGAAGCAAGAATCAAAGGAAACTAGACATAGCAAAACTGGTCAGCTTCTAGTGGCTACCTTTGCTGGATTCCACAACTTCAACTAGAATCAGGGATCTATGCCAAGTTTTTAAACTTTGTGTTCTTAAATACATGTTAACTGTACTCACAACTCACTTCTGACACTATAAATAATAAATAAGGGGTCTGCCTCTTTCTTTTAGCCCCCTAATACCCTTAAAACCAGTTTTAGAGGACTCTAAAACCCTTTGAGACAAGAATGCTGCAGCAAAAGGAAGAGAAAAAGAAAGTTTCAAGTTTGCTGGCAATGGACACCAAAGGACATGGTTGGATCTTGGCCTGTGTTTTCAGTGCTTTGTGAGATGCTTTTAAAGCTTATTTTCATCTATTTTGCCATCATAACCCTCTCTCTTCTACTTTCAGTGGTGCAGTGCCAGCCACCCCCAAATATCCAAAATGGATTTCACAGCAAGCAGGAAGGTGAAGTGTTTCCCCCTGAAATGTCTGTGACTTATACATGCCATCCAGGCTACATACTTTTTGGACAAGAAACTATTTATTGCACAGCATCAGGCACATGGTCTTCCCCTGCCCCTCACTGCAAAGGTACATTTCTTGACCAAATAGATATCACATAATTAGACTGAAGGTAATTTTATATATGTAATATTTTAAATAATGGTGTGCATGAAACAGAGTTTATGTATACTGAACCATCAGAAAGCAAAGGGGTCACTGTATTAGGACGTCATGTAGACCATTTGTGATTTTAGAGTATTTCAGAATTCTGGATAAGGAATGCTCAACTGTAGTACCTTGGAATATTCTCCTCCAAATCTAGTATTGTAACAGTGTAAAACCAAGGGTTTCTTGCAACTTTTTACCATAGTTTGCAAACAGGCTATAAAATTGGATATGGTATGTTTGTAAAATGTTTTCACACCTATTTTTCCTTCTCTCTGATCTACTGTAGCTGTAGAAAGGATGCTCACCACAGTCTCAAAGAATGCAGACAGCAGGATGATGGAGAAAGAAACCAAGGAAGAAAGTGAGAGGGATTTAGTTCCAGGGCTACCAAGAGACACAGGTACAGAGTGATCTACTGTAACACACTCTCAACTGCTGTAAAATTGCTTTCAATAGCACAGTCAATCTGTTTTTTTAATCTGTGTCATTAAATTACACAGAGGAGATTCCACTTTAAGAGGGCAGTTACTTATTCTGGTCACAACTACACCAACGTTTCCTTTCATACTGACAAATGTGCTGTTAGCAAGTGTCTTTAGCCTCAAAGTCACCTATGAAAAATCAAGTAGGATACTGAAACATGAATTTGTAACCTTGAGTTTCTTAATTGGAAAAGATGTAATCTGAATTCCATCTTTTTTGCTTAGTCTGGTCACTGGAAGAACATGTGCAGAACCTTGAGATATGTGTTTTTTGAAAGTCCCAAACATTTCTTTAGAAGACAAAAGACAAGGAGGGGAGGAAATAATTTTGATTTGTGTGTGTGAAAATGGCACGTATACAGGAGAGTGTTCTCCCTACTACTTTGTGCAATTTATTAACAAAATTTATTATTTATTATTTATTTATTTCATTTCTATCCCGCTCTTCTCACCCTGCAGGGAGCTCAGAGCGGCAAAAATCTAAGCAAAAATTCAGTGCCTAATTATACAAATCAAATAAAACATAACCTAATATCACTAGAAACAATAGATATATAAATACAATTAAAAACCATTAAACATATTAAAACATAATAACCTCATACACAAATAACATATTGCATCAATCCTTTATTCATAATTCAGCTTTTTCATTTCTAACTGTGTCGTGATAGGATGTTATACTGCATTTCTGTCACTCGTCAAACTTGCATAGTGGTGTTTCTCAAGTCTCTTAGTCGAATAGTAGCATCACAGTCTATCACTATCATAGTAGCATTACAATGCACCCTACTAGTCACCAGGAGCTGAGACCAAAGGCAGCTTGCAACAGACAAACACTGCCTTTTCCTCCAAGTTCCCTGCTATTGATGTTTTTTTGGCTGTCTTGGAGGATGCTGTGAACAAAAACAAGACATACTTTTAAATTCTGCTACAAAAGAATATTCTAGTGCAGAGAAAGGACTGCATAGTACAAAATTTGTATGTAATATTTTTTCAGTGGTTTAACTTTTTGTCATGAAGAGCTTCCTCTGTAGGCAGTGCTACTCAAAGTAATAGTAACAGACAGGTTCCAGTGGCTACTGGATCCACAGCAAATGTTCAGGAAGCAATGCAAATGCAATAATATATTGCAAAAATATGGTAGTGATGACTGGCTAATTGAAGGTGTGGAAGCTGGTACAGTATATTAAATACATTGTAAGGGATTATGAGTGGAAATAATTATTAGACCTTTTATTTGGCCTTATGTCACAATAAACATTTTGTATCACATTGAGGTCTTAATTCTGGATAGCGCTCTCCTAAGAAAAGAAGTATTTTCTGTCTTTGAATAACTTTTTCTTAAATAGTCAGAAAAAACGAAATGCAAAGATACAGAATGAGGGACAATGCCTGGCTCGAGAGCAGTACATGTGAAAAAGATCTTGGAGTCCTCGTGGACAACAAGTTAAACATGAGCCAACAATGTGATGTGGCGGCAAAAAAAGCCAATGGGATTTTGGCCTGCATCAATAGGAGCATAGTGTCTAGAGATCTAGGGAAGTCATGCTCCCCCTCTATTCTTCCTTGGTTAGACCACACCTGGAATATTGTGTCCAATTCTGGGCACCACAATTCAAGAGAGATATTGACAAGCTGGAATGTGTCCAGAGGAGGGTGACTAAAGTGATCAAGGGTCTGGAGAACAAGCCCTATGAGGAGTGGCTTAAAGAGCTGGGCATGTTTACTGCAAGAAGAGAAGGCTGAGAGGAGATATGAGCCATGTATAAATATGTGAGAGTAAACCACAGGGAGGAGGGAGCAAGCTTGTTTTCTGCTTCCTTGGAGACTAGGACGCAGAACAATGGCTTCAAACTACAAGAAAGGAGATTCCATCTGAACATGAGGAAGAACTTCCTGACTGTGAGAGCCGTTCAGCAGTGGAACTCTCTGCCCAGGAGCGTCATGTTGGGTCCTTCTTGGAAGCCCAAAACAGAGGCGGGATAGACCGTCCGGGGTGATTGAATGCCTATCGCTTCTTGTAACAGAGGGACTGGCTCTGCTGCTCAAGACTGTGCTCCCCCCTAAATCACTGTCTAGCTATGATAAGAGCTTTGAAGTCTGTTGAGTGCCCTTTCGAATATCTCACAGTCATGAGGGCCAGCAGGAAGTAAGGACAATTGAAATGAGCGCAATATACGCACCACGGTTATCTGTAACTCCAGAAAGAATTAGCTCTTCACAAAAACTGATCACAATTCCTCTTCATTTTGACAGGGCGTCGCTGAACCCCACACATAGGTTCGATTGCTGAGGTAGCGATATAAAGTACACATAACGTGCAGGGGTGATTTGAATGCAATATTCCTGCTTCTTGGGAGGGGGTTGGACTGGATGGCCCATGAGGTCTCTTCAAACTCTTTGATTCTATGATTCTATGAAATAGTATGCTCTTGAAGGCTGGTGTAGCATATGTATTGCATGATGGGATCCCTTGGAAGCCATGCACAATCCACAGAAACCATGCTTCTATCCTGTAACTCCAGAATTAGATTTAATTCGTTTCACAAAAACTGACTTAATTTTTTCCTCTCTCATTTTTGTCACCAGGAGATAGCTGTAATCCCCCACCTAGGTTAGATTATGCTGAACTGACCGATGAATATAAAGAGAAGAATTATTTTCCCATCGGCTCAACTGTGAAATACACCTGCCGTCCTGGCTATGCTAGAAGTAAACTAAAGATCTCTCGAACATGCCTTCAGAACCAGGAATGGTCAGAACTTGAGGAATTTTGCAAAAGTGAGTCTCTTAATATTCTCTAAAATGCAAAACAAATCAGCGCTAAAGGGATGGAAACAAACACAAAAAGGGATACATTTATATTGAGACAAACGAATTGAAATTAATGACATACAATTCATTTCATACTGTCCCTAAACTTATTTATCGATATTCCAATATTCACTAAAGATCTTTAATAGGGGGTCCTGCTTGAAGTCTACAGTAAGTATCATACTGTTTGTTATGAGTGAAATCAAGGCATGAAGTTTTCCTACTGTAAATGTATTGCCTTTAAACAAAATGAATGAATAAGGAAAGTTTGAATTGGTATTGCACTTGAGAGTATCCAAATGTTAAATGGGAAAAAGTTACTTGTTTCGTTTACTGCTAGAAAAATCATGTGGACATCCAGGAGAACCGGACCATGGCCGACTGCATGTATCAGGAGATTTTCTTTTTGGGGCAGCTATACACTATACCTGTGATGAAGGGTAAGCATGAAGCAAACCAATGAAAACACTGGTTTCTTCTCAATTATTTCTAAGGATGTAACTCTAAATTCTGTACATTTATGGAGAAAGAAATGCATACAGCAATAACTGCTTTTTCCAATTTAGATACAGGCTCATTGGTCATTCTTCCAGAAGTTGTGTAATTATTGACAAAAAAGTAGAGTGGACCCACGCTGTTGTCTTTTGTGAGCGTAAGTAGGAAATACCTTGCTCTCTGTTTATCTAAATAATATTCATACAGGTTTGTATAACCATACTATAATTTTAGTTACCAATAACACTGCAAAAATGAATCAATAAATGAAATATGGCCTCTTTGTGTAGCTAACTAAACACTAAGCAGATTTCTCAGTGCCAAACCATGGAGCTGAAGGACAGCTCCCCAAAGCTCAGTATATAAAACAGTATAACAAATTGGTAATCTCTTGGCTGAAAGTCCCACTAATCTTAATTTTTGTGTGTGTCAGGAGTGACTTGAGAAACTGCAAGTCACTTCTGGTGTGAGAGAATTGGCCATCTCCAAGGACGTTGCCCAGGGGACACCTGAATGTATGATGTTTTACCATCCTTCTGGGAGGCTTCTCTCATGTCCCTGAATGGGGAGCTGGAGCTGACAGAGGGAGCTCAACCTGCTCTCCCGGGATTTGACCCATTGGCCAGCAGTCCTGCCAGCTCAAGTGTTTAACCCATTGTGCCACCGGGGGTTCCGCTGATGTCAATTAAACTAACAGAACAGTACAGTTTCCTAAGAATTGAATTCCATTGGAAGCTAAGCGAGTAGATGGGAGACCGCCAACAAATACCAGGTGCTGTAAGCTATTTCAAGAATTTAAATTGAGGGTTTAAAGAACCAGGCAGGTTTCTACAGAGAGTGCCCTTACCAAATGCTAAATGCAGGGCAATCTTGTGCCATGCTGTCCTCTGAATGTTGCACTCTGTAAAAAGAAAAGAGGTCATAGTTAGAGAGAAAGAGAGAAGAGAACAAACTTGGGGCTCACTTCCCCCAGGCATGAATGTGTGCCTGTTATCATTCTAAAAGGAGCCAGCCTGGCATAGTGCTTTGAGTCAGGCATGTAGCCGGGGGGGGGGGGGGGG